AGGTCTGGGGAATAAATAACCATCGTATCTCTAAATTGATATCACTATCGATCTCACTACCGATCTCTATTTCGATCACACTATCCATCGTGCTATCGATCCCAATACCAATCTCACTATCGATCTGATTACCGATCTTACAACCGATCTCGCTATCGATCTCGTTATCGATCCCACAATCGGTCTCACGATCGGTCTCACTATTGATCTCACTATCGATCTCACTACGGGACAGTAGCGGGACACTGACGGGACACCGGCGGGACACCGACGGCACACCAACGGGACATCACTATCGATCTCACTAACGATCGCACTCGATCGATCTCACTCGATCGACCTTACTCGATTGATCCCATTATCGATTCCGAATTCGGTCCTACTATCGATTTAGCTATCTCACTATCGATCCCACCGTTTTCTCACTATCGATATCACAATCGATCTCATTATCCTTCCCATTACCGATCTCACCATCGATCTTGTCGATGCTACTATCGATCTTACAATCGATCTCGCTATCATTCTCGCTATCCATCTCATTACCGATCTCACTATCCATCTCACTACGGGGCACCGACGTTGCATCAGCGGGACACCAGCCGGACACTGACGGGACACCGACGGGAAACCGACGGGACACCATCGGGACACCACGGCGGGATATCCCGCCCGCGGCCACCGCCCGCCACGCGGCGGGGGTGGGGCGAACTTCTGTTCTGCCAGAAAGGGGGTTCGTCCCCCTCGCGCCCACGCAACTTCGCCTCGCCCGCATGCACGACACGAGCCCCGAACCGAAACTGATTTCCCAGTGGGGGGCTCTCCGTTTTACTTCGGTATCACCCCCAAACCTTCGACTGAGACAGATCGTGCGAATGCGCGATCGATCGTGAGACCGATAGATCGAAAATGATACTGATCGTGAGATCGTCAAACAGATAGTGAGATCGATAGCGGAACCGATGATGAGATCGATCGTGCAAGCGGTCGTAATATCGATAAATCGACAGCGAGATCGATCGTGAGATCGATAGAGAAACCTGTAGTGAGGCCGATAGTGAGATCGATAAACAAATAGTAGACGGATCCCGGCTGACCGCAATGGTGTCGCGATGGTGTTCCGATGTTGTGCCGATGGTGTCCCGACGGTGTCTCGATGTTGTCCCGACGGCGGCATTTATTTGTCCCCAGGGTGTCCCGATGGCGTCCTATCGCGGTTGTCATCAATTGGATACCCCCCACAAACTCCTTATCACCCGAACGTTGGTCGTATAGGAATGTTTTTTGTTGTTAATTGTTTTGGGCCTACCCCTGAGGTAGTCCAACCCCCAAAACAACGACTGATCATGTTCAATTGTCTGGCTGAGTTGACGCAGAGTTCGTACAACGCTTTGTATCGGGAGCTGACGCCACAAGCATGCGTAGCCGGAGCATCAGCTCAACTGCTCTGTGCATCGCCTGGCATGCCAGCGCAAGAACCATGGCAATGCGCATTCTGCTTCAATAGTGCAGCGCGCAAGTGGCACACGCCAACACCTCAAGAACACGTGAAACTGACCCATAGCTCGGGGTACGCCAGCCTCCCGTTAAATAAGACATACTCAAAATGTGATTGACCTTGCAGTGACATATTGGGGTCAACCACGAACGCTTCATACCTTCCCTGTTCGGGGCGGGACGGATTACGAAATGGAGGCACCCTTTCAAACCACTCTTCTTGTAAGAACATGAAATCTCCTAATACAACCCGTGATATAATAAAATCGCCAACGAGCGCACCACAACTTGGATGGGCATTCGTGTACTGCCATGCTTTACAAGGCTCGTGCGCAAAATATATACCAGGGCCATACATCGCCCCACCATGGGTACCCGCAAAACGGGTGTCAAAACCATCCCTTATTATCTGCTTCGCAGCTGTCTGGCTACAACCGTGAATCAATATCCGCCACCGAGCGGAAGGCTCTTAGTGGAGTGGGCTCAGGTCCGTTCGAAATTTGTGCAGAATATTTTAAATGCTCTTTTATACAAGGTGAGCCACGGGCGCTCTTGTGCGCTTCGGTCGCTTCTTTGTTCCCCCCCGCATGATTTTTCCAGAGCCCTCGGGAGCGTGTGTTGGAATCCCAAATTCACTGCGCCTTAAGATGACCCCGTGGGGCCGGCTTGGTGATCTCTTTGGCTCCTCTGGGGCCGCCTTGGAGGCTATATGGGAGATGACATAACGACCTTACGCGATGGCCTAGGCGGGCCGTCAGCGCAACGCGCTACGCTGGAAGCGATGCGTTTACGCGCGACCTTAGCAACTTGCGCGCCAATGTCGGCGAAGACGATCCCGTTTTTTGGCGTCGCTCATTTGGGCTGGCCCAAGCGGTCAACATCATCAACGCACCTTAGGCCTTGTCTGATTTTCGCTTGCTCGCCGGGTCGGCTTGAAGAGCGTCCGCGATGGTTCAAAGGGCCAACAAGATTTGCCCAAAGACGGCCTCCGAGGGTCCCAAGATGCCCTTGAGACAGCCCGAGGATGAGGGAGCAGGAATCGACGTTGCGAGCCTTTTGCTCCAAGATGTCCCACCGATACCTCCTGCAGGGCCCGCGAGGGGCTCCCAGGAGTTTCCCCAGAGGCTCTCAAGAGGCAATCGGCCTCCGAAGCGCCCCCCACGAAGATTCAGGACGACCTTCTATTCACAACCCGTGCGAGGTGGCGGGATGGGCCGAAAACCGCTAGACCTGCGTGGCACGGGGACGGAAAGCGCAACTGAATTCTTGATAGCGCGAGATCGCTGGCTCGTCTGTTCTTCCTCCTCTGAGTTCCTCTCTTACCCTCGCCCTTGTCGCATCCTTAGGGGGTCTTGGGGCCCTCTTAGGCAATCTTTGGGGACTCTCGGGCCATGTCCGTGCCCTCTTGGGCCGTCGTGGAGTTCGTTTGGGAGCCTTGGGGGCCGTCTTGGAGCGATGCCAGGACGACGTCGACAACATTTCATTTGCGTGAGGATGTCCCTAGCGAGATCGCCATTGTGGGCAAGAGCGATACCAAGACGATGCCGACAACATGTCATTCGTTAAATATGCCCCGAGCCAAATCGCAATCTTGGGCAAGACAGAGACCGCGACGTCGACAACATCTCATGTTTGTGGATGTTTGTGAAGCTGTCCCTAGCGAAATCGCCATTGTGGTCAAGAGCGATGTCCACAACGCATTATTTTTGGTGAGGATAGCCCTAGCGAGATGAGACCGAGACCAAGACGACGTCGACAGCAACTCATTTGTTTCAGGATGTCCCTAGCGAAATCACTAGTTTGGAGAAGAGCGACGTCGACAGCATCTCATTCGTGTGAGGATGTCCGAAGCGAAATCACTATTTTGGGAAAGAGTAATGTCGATTACGTCTCATTTGTGTGAGGTTGTTCCTAGCGATGTCGCATTTTGCTCCCAACCATCCTGTAGTGTTGGGTTCTCGAAAGAGAACGCCCCGCGTCTCCTCCCTCCTCTCCTCCTCCATCCTCTCATCCTTGCCGTTGGCCCCATGGTGAGCTCCAACGAATGTCAACCAGTTCGACACTGTGTCGGCAGACCCCTCACGCGTTGCGTGGCCGCATGGGGGGCTCCACCGAGGGCCCCAGTGGCGCAGCCCACGTGCATCCCCCCGCCCCACAGTCCACGCGCGCCCCCCCCGCCCCGTTGCGGCCCTCTGTTCGACCGAAGACCCCGTTGGCGCAATCCGCCTGCGTCCCCCCGCCCCATTTCGGCACGCCCCCCTCCCACGTTGCGTGCCCCCACCGGGAGCTCCACGGCAGCCCCCACGTGGCGCAAGCCACATGCGCCCCCCCGGCCACGCGCCGGCACACCCCCAGGACGTCTCGTGCCGCCCAGAGGGAGCTCGACCGAAGGCCCCGGTTGCACACTCTACGCGTGTCCATACGTGTGCGTCCCTCCGCCCCATGTTGGCACATCCCTCGCACGATTCGTGGCCATATAGGGAGCTGCACCGAAAGCCCCAATGGCACAGTCCACATGCGCCCGCCCCACTCATGTCGGCAACCCCCTCACGCGTTTCGTGCCCCCATAGGGAGCTCCACCGAAAGCCCCAGCGGCGCAGCCTGCAATCGTCGCACCCGTCCCCAAGCCCATTTCGGCACACCCCTGAGACGTTTCGCGGCCCCCATCCTCATGTCCCGTGCCCCATCCTTCCAGCGGCGCGCTACCTGCGAGGGGGGGGAGGGGGGTCATGCACTGTGTGATTCGCAGCTGCATATGGTTGGGTCTGTCGCCAAGCTAAAACTTTTTTTGGCGGCCATTCAAACACGTATTCCAATCTTCTTCGGCGCATCCCGCTGGCCACCTGGAGCGAATGGGAGCATCGACGCAGCCTGCCTCCAAGATTGCCAAGGTAGAGCAAGATTAGCTCTGATACGTCCCCAATGCGCTCCCAAGACTGTCACTCGTGCCGCAAGCAAGCCCCATGTAACCTCACGATGCCTTTAATATAATTCAACGCATGTTGACCCAAGACGAGCCAATAAGCTCCCGAGACGCCCCAAGAGGGCTCCAAGAGGACCTCCAGGCAGTCAACATCACTGCTCTGCCTTTAACTTGGTTGTCGCGCTCTCGCCATGTCGGGCTTCCGACGAAGGCCTGACGGCGCAAGCGGCCCCAAACATAGCCCCAATACAATGCAAGAAGCTCCCGAGAGGGCCCGAAACGGCCCAAGATGGCCCCCAAACGGCCACGAAACAACCCCAATAGAGCCCATGAGAGCTCCGCTACTGCCAAAGAAAGCCCAGGGCGGCCCCGAAGAACCCGCAGAGGCCGCCCCCAAGACGTTCCAGACGAGCCCCGAAGACGGTCTGCGGAAACGCCAGAAGGTCCGAAAACAGCCTAAGACGGCCCAAGAGATCTCCAGGGTGGCCCAAGAGCCCCAAGAGGCCCCCAGGAAGGCCCAAATTGCATGACAAAAGAGCCTGAAGATGACACCACGTTTCCTCAGGCGCTGGGGGAACACTCAATCCACAAACATGGTCGTGCCTCTGATTGACGTTATGCCACTGAGGCGTTTCCGGACGGCAGGGGGCGGCGGTAATTCGCCGTGGGCGCGTTCGATCACTTCGTTCAAATCTGCATCCGCACTAAAATTACTTGGCAGTAAGGAGTTTAGCCCAGTTTGCGGCTGTGGCAAAGTCTGGCAAACGAGCCCAAAATGTTTGTACTTCTCTCGCATCTCTGTTTTGGATGAAACGTACTGGTTCCACAAATACGGATTGTGCACGCTGCGAACGGACGTAATTTGTAACTTCTGGAACGGCCAACATGTGCTCGGTCGTCGCATGAACAGCTCCTGCTGGTGGGATAATTCCAACAATATTTGACGGGTCTTGTCGTGCATTTCCTCTTCGGGTAATGATATGTACGTTGGCACGCCAACAATCGGAACTCGCCAGAACTCAATTACAAGCCTCCGCTCCGCGGCCACACTGCCCGCTGCCCTCTGAAGAATTGCTATTTCAGCCTCTGCTTCTAACAATCGCTCGGCCGTTCCTTCGGCCTCTTCCTGGTAGGAGAACACGCGTGCTTCCGCATTAACACGCAACACTGCCTCGGCCTTCAACTTGTTCTCCGCAAACATAATTGCAAGCGACCCATCCTTTTCCGCTTTCTTGCGCAATTCTTCCTCGGCCTTCAACTTGTCCTCCGCAAGCGATCGATCTCTCTCGGCCTTCGTGCGCAACACCTCCTCGGTCTTTAACTTGGCCTCCGCAAAGCGAGCCTGCGCAGACTGGCGGGGAGGAGGGGGTGGAGAAAGGTGTTGCGCTGAGGGGGGGGAGGGGGAAGGCTCGAATCGAGTAGGTCGCCTATGCACGCTGTTCGTAATACTTGCGCAGGCCGAAATATTTTCCTATTGAATCCCAGACGAAGACAACGACAGACCGACCGACCACGACGACCGACCAACCGAATATGACGACGACGACGATCGACCTATCGACTGACTAACTGGCCGACCGAGCAACCGACCGACGACGACGATCGACCGACTGGTCGACAAGGAATCCCTCCCCCGTATCATCATAACATTCGTTTGCAAATCCACGGCTCCGTAGATCAAATTTCCCGTCAATTATTATAGCGATTATTTTGCTTACCGTTACCCTCATGTATATAGATGTATGTTACAAGACTCTGTCGACACTTCGCTCCACTCACCTGGGTCCTTCAAGCTTCGCATCTGTTGGCACTTGGCGTCATCCTCTTTGGCCTTTGACATGTGTCGTTTCCTTTCAAATCCGTTTACCCGTTCCTTATTTGCTCTCGCCCTCGGTTTACATGCTCGTGCGCCGCTCGAATATTTCTTGGGACGCGTTGTGATTCGAATTTCGAGGCGGACCCGATGACGTGGCGACGAGAACGCCACCTGGAGGCTCCGAAAAAACGTTGAAGCAAAATCGCGTACCCTCTTCGCTAGATCCTGCGCCGGCGAATGTCGTAATGGCCTGCGCGTCGACTGTTGACGCCACTTGAACCAATCGACCATGAACGATCGCGCATTCCCGGTCAACACCGGAAAATTCGTAACCACTGGCCGCGTTCATTCCGAGCGCCCGCGCAAATGTGGCCGCCGCGTCGACACAACGTAAACCTACCGTTATGGAGGACAAATTGCTTCTTGGGGGTCGTTTTCTCCACTCGAAGATCTCTTTGTCAGGCCCTCCAGGTTGCAGCGGCTTCTGGAAGCCGACGTCGAACCCAAACGTCCGAAGATTGCAGAAACTCCAAAAAACCTGGCGGCTTCTAGCGGTTCCCAATGACATATAACCAACAAATGCGCCAGCCCCCTTGTGGGGCCATCAGGCTGCGAGGGTTAAGCTTGCTGCTCCCTGCGCCAGTTCCAGTTTCCAGTTTCCATTGTTACAATGCTGCTGTCTGCTTCCTACTGTAAATTGTTACTGTCCGCGCGAGGGGGGGAGCCGAAAACCAGCTTGGTTAGCGTCCCCCGGGAGGGTTCTCAGAATTCCTGCAGGGGTAAGAATTGACACCCCTCACGCAGATCGGCGGGGTCAGGGTCCAAAAAAACAGACGATTTGCCACATTTCTGAAATTCGGTGCCACCCCTCACGCAGAGCGAGCGGGGTCAGGGTCCAAAAACACCAGGGATTTGCCACACTTTTGAAATTCGGTGGCACCCCTCACGCAGATCGGCGGGATCAGGGTCCAAAAACATAAGAAATTTGCCACATTTCTGTAATCCGGTGGCACCCCTCATGCAGATCGGCGGGGTCAGGGTCCAAAGCGCAAGGGATTTGCCGCATTGCCACCCCTCACGCAGATCGGCGGGATCAGAGTCCAAAAACACAAGAAATTTGCCACATTTCTGTAATCCGGTGGCACCCCTCATGCAGATCGGCGGGGCCAGGGTCCAAAGCGCAAGGGATTTGCCGCATTGCCACCCCTCACGCAGATCGGCGGGGTCAGGGTCCAAAAACACACGGGATTTGCTGCATGTTTTACATTCGGTGGCACCCCTCACGCAGATCGGCGGTGTCAGGGTCAACAAACACAAAGGATTTGCCGCCTGTCTAAAATTCGGTGCCACCCCTCACGCAGATCGGCGGGGTCAGGGCCCAAAGGCATTTGGAATTTGCAGCATTTCTGAAATTTCCTGGCGCCTCTCACGCAAATCCGTCGCCCGAATCGAGCCAGACCGCTCCAGGAGCGGCCCGACGAGCACTCCGTGCGAGCTGGCACGAGCAGGCCGCCCGAAATTGGGCAGGGAACGTGCTGGAGCCCACAACCAGATTAGATAATGAAGAAAACGTGTTTTGGGAACCGTTTTTGTGGAGCCACTGACATTTTGCCGGGTCGGCCAGACTCTGCCAGATTTGCCCGAATCGAGCGCGGCGTCGGCAAGCCCGAAATCCAAGCCCAGGCGCTCCCGGGCGCCCCCAAGCGCGCACGAACGCTCCGTGCGAGCCGGAGCGCCCCCGGAGCGGCCCGACGAGCACTCCGTGCGAGCTGGAACGAGCGGGCCGCCCGAAATTGGGCCGGGGACGTACCGGAACGCAACATCATATTAACTAATATAGAACACGTGTATTGGGAGCCGTTTGTGGAGCCACTGACATTTTGCCGGGTCGGCCAGAATCTGCCAGATTTGCCCGAATCGAGCGCGGCGTCGGCAGGCCCGAAATCCAAGCCCAGGCGCTCCCGCGCGCTCCCAAGCGCGCCCAAACGCTCCGTGCGAGCCGGAGCGCCCCCGGAGCGGCCCGACGAGCACTCCGTGCGAGCTGGCACGAGCGGGCCGCCCGAAATTGGGCCGACGTGCCGGAGCCCAAAACTAGATCAAATCATAAAGAAAATGTGCATTGGGAGCCGTTTTTGAAGAGCCACTGACATTTTGCCGGGTCGGCCAGAATCTGCCAGATTTGCCAGGATCGAGCGCGGCGTCGGCAGGCCCGAAATCCAAGCCCAGGCGCTCCCAGGCGCGCCCATGCGCTTCCAAGCGCTCGAACTGCGAACCGGAGCGCCCCTGGAGCGGCCCGACGAGCGTTCCGTGGGGACCTGCACGAGCGGGGGCGCTTCCGGAGCGGCCCGACAGGCATTCCGTGCGAGCCGGCGCGAGTGGGAGCGCTTCCGCAGCGGCCTGACAAGGCGCTCCAAGGATTTGCCACATTTCTGAAATTCGGTGGCACCCCTCATGCAGATCGGCGGGGTCAGGGTCCAAAAACACATGGGATTTGAAACATTTCTGAAATTCGGTGGCACCCCTCACGCAGATCCGTCGGGTCAGGGTCCAAAAACAAAAGGGATTTGCCACATGTCTGAAATTCGGCGGCACCCTCACGCAGTTCGGCAAGGTCAGGGTCGAAAAACAAATAGGTCCCGACACTGCTTCACGGCAAAGCCAAAGCCTCATGACTTCGCTCTTCCATGGCCCATTCTCCGAGAGAGGATGCCGGCGGCAGGGGGCGAAGCCCTTACGGATATATGAATCATCGTAGACTGAGGTGTTAAACTCTGGCGGTGGGAATTCTGTGGCTTAAGCAATGTGATGTGAGCGATGTTGTGGCAACCATGTGGTGTAAGCTATGCGGTGAAAGCTCTTCGGTGGTAACTATGTTTCGTCAACCATGTAATGCGGACGATGCTATGATATCTACCAGATGTGAACTATGTGGTGCAGGACAGGTGGTGTTAACAATATGTTGGGAAACATGTTGTGGAAACTATGCGGAGAGAAAAGACCAGTGTAAGCTATGCGGCGTGGGGATCACGAACGCCCTCGATGCAGCATGGGCGGGCACGTCTTTTGCGGAGGCTCCTTGTTGGAGAACCTCTTGCGGGCCTCACGAATGCCTCTCAAAGGCTTCGGGGACCTCTGGAGTCCTCCTGGGCGACTCTCTGGGCCGTCTTGGGGGTCTTTTTGAAGCCCGTTTAGGCCGTCTTGGGTCCCTCTTGGGCCGTGCTGGGGCCTTCTTGGGGAATTTGGGCCCTCTACGGGCCTTCTTGGGGTCATCTTGGGCCCTCCTGGGGACCTCCCGTGGCCCTCGTGGGTCTCTCTTGGGAGCCTCGGGGACCTCGTGAATTTCTTTCGGGCCGTCTTGGGGCAGTCTTGGGGCCCTCTTGGGCTGTCTTGAAGCCCTCTTGGGGGCCTCTCGGGCCGTCTCGGGGCGATCTCCGAGGCCTCTGGGGCCGTCGTGACCGCTGCCACGGCACAGAAAGGGAGGATATGCTGAAAATGTGCGTTTTCCGAAGGGAACGGGGAGATTTGTGCCTCTTGGGAGCCCTCCCGAAGGCCTCTTGAGGCGTCTTGGGGGCCTCTTGGGCCATCTTTGGGGGCCTCTTGGGCCGTCTTGAATCCGTCTTGTGTTTTGGGGCTCTCCTGCGTCTCTTGGACCACTTCTCTGATCTTTTTGGGTCTGCTGGGCAAGGCCTGGCAAGGCGCCCTGGGAGGTGCGCCAGGGCTGGGGGACCTTCCAAGGGCGTCCAGGGGGCCCCAAAGCCCACGATCCCAGAGAGTCTGGTTTAGGGGTGTGTGTGAATGCTTTCCCACCCCCCAGCGTGCAAAAATATAGGAAGAGGAATACTCTGGGGAAAAAGCGGGATATCCACTAATCCTGCGCGCAGATAAATGGTCTGGATCCACGAGACTCTGGTACACATGCAGTGGGATCCAATGGGATCCATCGTCTCTTCTTGCAATAAGAACGTACCTTTGGCCTGGGGATATACACCATTTGGATCTGCTCGAATAACCCCGGCCTCACAAATCATAGCTGTGTCTGTCTCTTCCCGCCACCACGGCAACAAAGAGGGCACCCCTCCCCCCGACGCATAAGATGCACTGGCCGTGACTGGATCCAACCACTCAGTGTCTCGAACGATAGATGGCAACAACGAGGGAGCGCCCGTTTCCTGGCAACATCCCAATATCCAATTCACATTGCGACGAGATACTTCAGTTCCGCTGGGATCTCTGGGCGCACACGAAGGGTGGTGATGGACATATAAGCGCAGAACGCTCGATCGAAGACCTTACGCGGCACTTGCGCAAGGCCGCGGCACGGGCGCCTCGCTTCACGCGGACTGATTCCGAAATGCACTTCTGCGGCCTATTACCGGCTTCGTGACGCGAGAGACACAAGTATTAAACCGCTCTCTGTTTTGCTTTTGTATCCCGAAGCTCGCCCTGTTCTTGTATTTCATGTTGTCCCTTCTTTGTTGCTGAAGCTCGTGGGCAAGCTGGTCTCGTTCTGATCGAGCTGCCTGCATCTCCTCCACACGTCTATCGATAGCACGCTCGATGCTCGCCACGATGCCCACAGGCTCGGTGGGTGCCGCAGCCTGGCCCCAATCTTCGCGCATGATCTTCCGGACCTTCCCAGTGGATGTATTTTCCTGGGTCATCTCGGCCAAACACACCCTGTACGTGTAGTTGCCGGAACGCAGCTCCAGGGTGCTCGGAGCAGGAGCCAATGCGAACGCTTCCTCCAGAAGGCTATTGGCGCTAGTGTGGAAAGGATGCCACGCCGTGTCATCGCCTTCCCAAAACCATTGGGCCGCCAAAGACGCTGACAACCGTTCTTTTAGACGGCACAATTCAGCTCGGGCGTTTTGTGCATCCACCTCGGCCTTGCGACGCGCCGCGTGCTCTGCTTTCAATATTTGCTTTGTTCGTTCAGCTGCCTGCCATTCATCTTCAACCAACCAATCCTCTACAATTGTTCGCGCGATGGATTGTTGTTTGTTTCTCCTCCTCCGATTGGCGCCCATTGCAATTCTTGTCGCGATTGAACTAGTGTATGCTTAATGGAAGTGAAGCAATACTGTGCGGCGGAACAATGACACAACGGAGCTGGCCCCTGACTCGAGCCACATGTCTACAGGTGCCGTCGATTACGAAACCACGAGAACGAGGAAAATGATGAGTCTGCGATGGGACTTGCGTCCCGACAATGTGAAGGCCTATGGTGAGCTTGGAAGGTCGAGCTTCTCTGACGAACAGGGACGAGAAAGAGAATGGAGAAGGGAACGGAAGGGGAAACCGCAAAAGCCATGCAATCGACGCGGATGCAGAGACCAGGCATGCCGGCTCACGAAGCAATGAAGAAGGAAGACAACGAACGGGACAACACACGGGGACAAACCGGCAACCTATACGCCGACAAACATAACACTGGCGCGACCCAGATTAGAGGACAACTGATCAATACACAATCGAGTAATGAAGATAAGTCTTTGGTCTGCTTGGCAACGCTTTGCTTTGCTCGGCGTTTCTTGGCATTGCTTGGCGTTGCAACATTGCTTGGCGTGCTTGGCATTGTTTTGCGCTTCTTGACGTTGTTCTGCATTGTTTGGTATTGCTTTGCATTGTGTGGTGTTGCTTGGCAGTCTGGAAACAAGATCACGCAACCCGAAATAGACAACACGCAAACGTGGTCAAACAGGGAATGCAGTAAGAAATCAAGAGCAAGCAACCCAAGGAATGTAGTAACGAAGCAAGACCAAACAACCCGGGGAACACAATAGAGAAATTACCCGAGGACGTACCCAATCTTTTTTATAACATGAGGCGGCTATATCTGGGACCGCTCCATAGACACAAGAAATCTTCAAGGATCGACCGTGCCTGTGACCACCTCGGTAAATATCGTCGAGCCACACTCAAGCGTTCTCCATTCGCAGCATCACTCCAGCGATTTGTGCCTGGAGAACCTCCGTCCTCGTCCTCCACGTCCTCCCACAAGGCAGCGATATCTGACCACCTGGGAGAGTTCGCATGAGGGAAGGAAGAGACTACCAATGATGCTAATTCAGCGGGCCGATGGACTACCGCTTTGAGCCGCCTGGCCGCGGCGATATTTGCGCAGGGGGCAGCCCTCGAGGGAGCTGAGAGGTCTAGTCTGAGTGTGCGTAAGACACCATCCAGCTGGGCCTCTAGGAGGCCACGAAAACGGCGACAGTTTCACAGCTCGTGGCAACTCAGGGGCCCGAGAAGTCTAGTCTGAACGTGCGTGAGACACTACTCCGCTGGACACCCGGGAGTTCACGAAAAGAGCTACCTACAATCTTCCAGTTCCCAGCCCCCAAAGGGATCCGAGAGGTCTAGTCTGGATGGGCGTAAGAGGCCACTCCGCTGGGCCCCCTCCAGGGGCCCACGAACGGCGCGACAGTCTCGCAGTTCGCAGCCCCCCAGGGTGCCGAGAGGTCTAGTCTAGATGTGCGTAAAGCACTTCTCGGTTGCCCCCGCTTCCACACCCGGAGCCCGCGAAATGAGAGACAGGTTCGCAGTTCGCCGCTCCCCAAGGGGACCGAGACGTCTAGTCTGAACACGCGTAAGACACCACCCAGCTGGGCCCACAAGAATCCACGAACGTGGCGATTTCTTCGCAGTTCGCAACAACCCAGGGAGCCGAGAGTTTTAGTCGGGATGTGTCTAAGACCACTCCGCTGGGCCCTTCCAGGAGCTCAAACACATGGCGACAGTCCCGCAGGTCGCAGCCCCGCAGGGAGCCGAGAAGTCTAGTCTGGATGCGTAAGAAGACACCACTCAGCTGCCCCCGCCCCCCCCCCCGGAGCCAGCGAAAGTGGCGACAAGTTCGCAATTTTCACCCCCGCAAGGAGCCGAGAGGTCTAGCCTGGATGTGCGTAAGGTAAGACACCATTCCGCTGGGCCTCCAGGGGCCCACGAACAGCGCGACAGTTTCGCAATTCGCACCTTCCCAAGGATTCGAAAGGTCTAGTCTGGATGTGCGCAGGACACCACTCCGCTAGACCCCCAAAGAGCCCACGAAAGAGGCGACAATTTCACAACTCGCAGCCTCCCCCAAGGAGCCGAGAGGTCTAGTTTGAAGGTGCGTAAGACAGACACCACTCCGCTGGACCCCCAAGAATCCGTGAAAGGCGCGCCAGTCCTCAAAAAGTCTGATATGAATGTGCCAAAGACACCACTTCGCTGGCCCCTCCCTCCCCCCAGGGAGCCAAAAGATCTAGTCTGGACAAGCGTAAGACACCACCCAGCTGTGTCCCCCGGAATCCACGAACGTGGCGACAGTTTCAGTCCGCATGCCCACTGGGAGCCGAGAGGTCTAGCCTGGACTTGCATGCGTAAGGCACCACCCAACTTGGCCTTCAAGAACCCAGGAACGTGGCGACAGTTTCAGAGTCCGCAAGACTCTAGGGGACGGCGATGTCTCGTTCTGGTCCGCGCACGACGTCATTCCGCGGGGCCTCCCAGGAGCTCACGAATGTGGTGACAATTTCAGTCCGCAGGCCACGAGGGGACGGCGAAATCTCATTCTGATCCGCGTGCGACGTCACTCCGATGGGCCCCCCAGGAGCTCACGAACGTGGCGACAATTTCACAGTCCGCAGGCCCCGATGAGACGGCGAGGTCTCATTCCGATCCGCGTAGGACGTCACTCCACTGGGCTCCCAGGGGCCCAAGAAAGTGGAGACAGTTTCACGGTTCGCAGGCCCCGTGGGGGCGGCGGAGTCTCGTTTTGTTCTGCGTAAGACGTCATCCCGCTGGGCCCCAGGAGCCCACGAGCGTGGCGACGATTTCAGTCCGCAGGGCACGAGGGGACGGCGAGGTCTCATCTCGATCCGCGTAGGACGTCGCTCCGCTGGGCCTCCAAGAGCCCACGAGTGTACTCACACAGGCCCCCAGGGGACGGCGATGCCTCGTTCTGACCCACGCAGGACGTCACTCCGCTGAGCTCCTAGGGGCCCACGAATGTGGCGGCAATTTCACAGTCCGCAGGCCCGGAGGGGACGGCGAGGTCTCATTCTGATCCGCGCAAGACGTCACTCCTCTACATGTGTAACATCGCCGGCGACGCGCCGCAGGCAAGCCAGCACGATTGGAATGAACATCCTGACCGTGACACTGGCAACACGATGGCTGCTGGGAGGGAGCGGGCAACATTGGAGTGAGTCCCATGGCCTGTCTCCTGCCAACAACGTTGGCAATGCGATGGCTGCTGGAAGCGAGCGGGTATAATTGGAGTGAGCCTCCAGGCAAGCTTCTGGGAGCGGCACGCTTGGAGTGAGCTTCCTGGCAGCTACGCTGGGAATGAACTTCCAATCAACTACTGTACGCTGATCACGCGATGTGCGCCGGAAGCCCGCGCGCACGTGCTTCCTGGCTTGCTGGCAAGCTTCTGGGCAACAACGCTGGCGGCGCCATGGCTGCGGGAAACGAGCGGGCTCGCTTGGAGTGAGCCTCCTGGCAAGTTTCTACATAGGCGACATCGCTGGCGACGTGATGTGCACCGCAAGCGAGCGGGCACGCTTGGAGTGAGCTGCCTGGCTTGCATCCTGGCAGCAGCATCGGCACCGCGATGGCTGTCTGGAGCGAGCGGGCACGTTTGAAGTTGGCCTCCAGGCAAGCCTCTTGGCAAAGATACTGGCGACGCGACGTGCCCCGCAAGCGATCGGGCACGCTTGGAGTGAGCTGCCTGGCACCAGCATTGGCAACGCGATGGCTTGGGACCGCGAGAAGGCACGCTTGGAGTGAGCTGCCTGGCGTCTACGCTGGTCGCGCGATGTGCGCCGCAAGCGAGCGGGCACGCACGGAACGCCCACCAGAGCAACGCGGGACGGATATACCGACCCCTGGCACCTGTGCTGGGGAAGGTACTGCATAAAGTAAGCAGTGAGAGATCCAGGTATTGGATTTTTTTTTAGGGAAGAGATGGAGAACCGCCGCGAAGCTCCACAGGCTGCCACAACGCGCCCGCTGCCTGTTGAAAGCGCCAGCCAGGACGAACAAATGCTGACCCCCCGGGAAAAGACAGCCGCCATGATTTAGTGCCGTCACGATTTGACGCGAGCCATCGACCTGCCCACACCCGCGCCACCGACCTGTCTCGAGGATCGGCCTGGGTCTGCCCAGGTGCATACCTGGCGTCCTCCTGCCCTGGGTCTCCTCCCTCCTGCTCCTGCTCCTGCTCCTGCTCCTCCTCCTCCTCCTCCTCCTCCTCCTCCCTATCCTCCTCCTCCTCCTCCTCCTCCTGCTCCTGCTCCTGCTCCTCCTCCTCCTCCTCCTCCTCCTCCTCCTCTCGTGCCCCTCCTGTGAGGCCTGGCACCTGTTTTCATGGTGTCAGTGCCGAGCACCCTCGGGGCACACTGTGCACGGCACTTATTTCGCAGGTTGGGCGGGGTGCAACCGGCCGGTTTTTTTTTCTGGAACCGCAGGCTTTGGGGCTTGGGGTGGACGTTGCGAAACCTGTATCGACGGGTCTCCCGTCGTTTGGTGTAGCACGGCCCCAGTCTCAGCCTGGCCCTGCTGGTGAAGGCGGGTAGCGGCGCCTGTGCGGTCATTTCATTGTGATCTGACCCTCAGGGATCGGCATTTCCTCGAAAGGCGGTGGCTTGTGCCACGTGAGTCCCAAAGGGCCTTGTGCCCACTCAAGGCTGGGGAGCTTGTGCTGCTCAGTATGCCGTGCCAGCTGTTCCGACTGGGATGCCTTTGGCTTCCAACGCACCATGTCGGAACCGCTGGGCCGCGAGTCTTCACAGGCGACGTGGTCACCCCCTATGCCCTTCCTGCGCAGCTGTTGCTGCTTTCCGGGCGGCAGTTCGTTGGCTGGGCGTGTGCAATACATGGGCGGCCTTCGGGAGACCGACCCTGGGCGCCGGACTCCTCCTCTCCTCGTCGTCCTCCTCCTCCTCCTCCTCCTCCGCCCTCCGCCTCCTCCTCCTCCTCCTCCTCCCTCCTGCTCCTGCTCCTGCTCCTCCTCCTCCTCCTCCTCCTCCTCCTCCTCCTCCTCCTCCTCCTCCTCCTCCTCCCCCTCGGCAGCGCGCAAAGAGCGGCAGAGCGACGAGGGCGCGGCCTTCCGCGACGGCAGTAGGGCGTCTCTGAAGGGCACATCCCCTGACGCACGCAGCGCCCCGCGCGCCTTCTCAGAGGCGAGGGTGGGCCTCTCGAAAGCGAGCGGGGCCTGTCGCCAAGGTCTGCCAGTGGCCATGCCGCGACACGCTCTCGGAGTGGGCACCACACTAAACGCAAGGGTCATGCCCCCGTACGTAACATTCAACCGCTGCCCTGCGACACCATTAAGCAAGAGGTCGCCCCTCTGACCTTACAAACTCTCCCGAATGGACGAACCGCACTGGCTCCGGGACGAACCCACTGACCCGGAGCCGGCGGCACGCCGCCCAGAGGACCGCCGGCCACGGCCCACGACAGCCAAGCAGACCGCTCCCGGGCAGGGTGGGGCTCTCCCCAGCCCCGCTCGGCGATGAGACTAGGCGATTCGGCGACGATGTTTCCCCCCCCGCACTGGGCCGATGCCCCCTCTCGCCACTCCTTTTGCCTCTCTCCTCCCCCCTCCTCCCTCCTCCTCCCCCCCCCCTCCTCCCTCCTCCCCTCTCTCCCTCCTCCCCTCTCCTCCCTCCTCCTCCCCCCTTCTCCCTCCCTCCCTCCTCCTCCCTCTTCCCTCCTCCTCTCTCCTCCTCCCCTCTCCTCCCCCCTCCTCCCTCCTCCTCCCTCCTCCTCCTGCCTTCTCCCTCCGCCCTCCTCCTCCCTTCTCCTCCCCCCAGCTCGCCGCAACATCGACCAAGAGCCTCGGAGTGGGCCCCCGCAGACCCGGGCTCTTGCGAGCCAGGACGCCGGCGCACCCGAGAGAGGACCGCAGCCGTGGGTCGAGGCACTCACTCTCCCGCTGGATCTGGCAAGATGCTGGTTTGAAACAGCGTGCCTGGGCAGTGAGCACCTGAGAAACCTTCGCCCGGCTGTCCGACCTATCCCCCCTGGGTAGGTGGGGATGTGTGTCATCTCCTCTGGGTCTCGCGGCACCCATCCCCACCTCTGTGGAGGGGGTGCGCTGGGAGAGCTGACCTGTCGTGTCCCAGTCGGAACTGGGATGGTGCTGATGAAGATGACGATGAAGACGAAGAAGATGATACTGCTGATGATGCTTCTCATATTGATTATGCTGATGATGACGATGATGATGATGATCCTGATGCTACTGCTGCTGCTGATGATGATGACGCTGATGTTGATGATGCTGTGGCTGTTGATGATGCGGACGACGAAGACTCGGATGGCTATTAAGCTGAAGATGAACATGATGATGCTGCTGATGATGACGACGATGATGATGCTGCTGCTGATGATGACCCTGGCGTCTGGGGCGCCAATCAGATCCCCGAGCCCTCCCCTCTCGGGACTCGGAATTCGAATAGGGGATCGACTACATGATTTATTTGCCCCAGTGTTGACATTTTCGTCAGATCTACAAGAAGTGCGTAGAAGGTGTGTAGATCTACTAACATGATACAAACTCTTTCGCAGCCTTGACGAACACATCAATTTTGGGGTAAGTCAGCTTTGTATTTGATCTCCTACTCCAGTTACCCCCGAAGCCGCCTTCCCTTCCAAGAGCGCCCCCTCCCCTCCCCCCCGAGCGGCGGCTGGTCCATTCGTGCTGTACTGAACTTGCCTCACTTGGTGCCCGTGCACAATTGTTACGTCGCCGCGCGGTTTGTTCTCGACGCGCCCAAGTGGACGACGCCGCCACCATGGCAAATCCACGGCAAGCCCTGCGTCCCGCGTCCAAGGAGACGCAACCAGCACCGCGGCAATCCCACCGCAAGCCCTGCGCCGGAGGCGGAGCTTGCCCCAGTGCCCGCGGCGCCCTCTCAAACACGTCAAAAGCCGCGTGTCGGAACAAACGGCGCGGCGACTTCTCTCACCAATACTCTGCGAATTGTGGGCCGACCTCTGCCGACAGGCTCATTGCTTCATCCGCGTCGAAGACCCCGCTGCGACGGCGACGGCGACGGCGACGGCGACGGCGACGGCGACGGCGACGACGACGACGACGACGCGGCGGCGGCGGCGGCCTCGGCCGCGGCGCGCGGAGGCGCCTCCATACGGCTCCCCCTGCCCGAGGAGGCCGGGGTGCTCGTAGTAGCACTGCGCTGGCACCTCGGGGCGGGCCCCGCGGCGGCGGAGCGGTCCAGGATGCGCGGAGGATTCCAGGAGGGGGGGGCCTCCTCCCTCTTGGAAGCCTGCCTCCTCCTTCCACCCTCCACCCTCAAGCCTCCTCCCTCCTCCCTCCTCCTCCCGGAAGCCTTCCTCCCTCCCGCCTCACTCCTCCCTGAAGCCTCCTCCCTCCTCCCTCCTTCTCCTGAAGCCTCCCTCCTCCTGCCTCCCTCCTCCCTCCCCCTCAGGGGGAAGGAGGAGGGAGGCGGGAGGCGGGGCGAGGAGGAGGGCGGAGGGCTCTCCAGGCGAGTGCGCCGGTCTCCGCCAGATCTGGGCGGGAGGAGCACGCGAGGGGCAGCCGCGCGAAATCGTGCCCTGCGCGGCGCCGGGCCGGAGTCCGCAGCAGGCGCGGACGGGGAAGGACGAATCGAGAATCTCTGAGGATCCGCCATTAAAGATGTGATTGGGCGCGGATCCAGACAATCCGAACCGGATCCGCGCGGACGGAAATAAGATCCACCGAAACAAAAACCAACACCAGCATTGGATCCCACGGCGGTTATCTCATACGCGTCTGCTTCAAACTTCAAGCCGGGGGATGTATCCTGGGGGATGCATCCTCGTCCTGGGGATGTATCCTCGTCCTAACCCCGTCCGATCTGAGGGCCCTAGGTAGAGGGCAGGAGACCCACCCTCACGGCAGGCACCCCGGCCAGCGCAGTTTTCAGCAAGCGCGCGCGAGGAGGGAACATAACAAAGCAGGACTGTTTAGTAAACGCCCAGGGGCCCAGGGCTGCTTAGCAAACGCCAGTTATTGGGGCTGGGGTGTCTTTTCCTCCCTTGGCGAAGGAGCCCCATGGCTTCTGTGGGTCCCTGGGGCCACGAGGAAGTGAGACATTTCCGCCAGGCTCTCGCCAGCAAAACGCCTTCTGATTTGGCGTGCGGGCGTGGAAGCTTCGGTGAACGGGCTGGCCCTCACCTCTCTCCTCCTCCTCCTTCTCCTCCGGTGGGGGAGGGAGAACACAGAGCGCCGGAGTCGTGCGCGCCGCCAGGGAGCCCGCCGTGCACATCCAGGAGGGCACCGGCGTGGGAAGCCGTCCTCTGCGCGAGGGGGACTGTGAACCCAGCCGTGTGATGCGTGCACACTTGCACGCTGGCCAATTCGCTTCTCGGTGCCCCCGATTAGCTCTACAGTCGGGGCGTTGACTTAAGGAGCTCTAAATAAGGAACAAGGCCCTTTTTTTCTCTCCATGAATTAGACTTCGATTTCCCAT